TGTCCAAGCAAACTTTACACAAGAATTCTTGTTTTGTAAGTGCATCAGTAATTTAAAAAAATATCTGAAGAGGGTATCATTCCTTTAAAAAAAAAGGCATGTAGATACCTGCTCCTAAACACTATAGCATCAATGAAAACACCAGTCTGAAGGAATAAAATGAATTAAAAAAAAAAAAAAAAAAAAAAAAAAAGGGCTTTTCAGTTGAGACTTGCGTCAGCAACATCTCCTTCTAAGAACAACCAGTTTCCTGCATACAGACTTACAACCTTAGAAGGGAAAGGGTTTTACTCCAACATTCTGCCTTTTAACTGCAGAGTAAACAGGCCCAACAGAACTGTCCGGACATGAGCAGCATCCAGACCACAACACAAAGGTCTGTCGAGAAGCATTTTTCAATCAATTAATTTATGGGGGGACTCAGCTAGGGCAGAGACGCTCAGCCTCACCCCAGCAACAGCAGCCCCTGTCGCAGCCCTGTCGCAGCTGCCAGAAACCCCGCGATGCTGCAGGACCCGTGCGGGCTGCGCAGCTGGTCACAGTGCTGCAGAGTGCAGGCACCAAAGGCCTCCGCGTAGTGAGGAGTTCATGAGGCGGGAGGAGGCTGCATCCCGGGCTTAACAGAAACTAACTGGAGGCTTTAACGGAACTCGGTTGTGCCCAGCACCATTTTAAAACATCCTCAGGGTGAGCTTCACCACATCTACAGCTGGTAGGTGATCAATATTTGGTTCATCATCTGGTCAAACTGGTATTAGTCAACAACACTGGGGAATTTACAGCAAAAAAAATAAAAATAAAATAAAAAAGGACATAAGATTGACTTAAAGCTTCAGAAGGTGACCATAAACCTACAAAAATCTTTCCACTCATGGGCTGGATCATTCCCTCCTCTCTATGAGACCAAAGATGACATGATCCATCTGATCATCACCCTGTACCACCAAAACTCTCAATCTGTTTTTCCATTACATAAATATATAAGCAGCCCATCTACGTCATTTCCAGCAGTTTTACCTATTCATTCTTTGAGCTGGGAAAAGAAATGCACTGGTACAAATGTCAGAGCAGCCTGACAGTGGAATGCAGTGACAGGATGTTCAAAGCAGGGCCACTCAAGCCTCAAGAGTCCAGAATCCCCATTGACAAGATCACACAAATATCAAAAAAAAATTGCATCCATCAAAAGCCTTTCCTCCTTGCATTCTTATTTCAGCCCTTTTCTACTGAATCAAGACATGGAGACAGGCTCTGAAGAGCAAACAGGTTACACCTGGAAAAAAAAAAAGTAATTTGAAAGGCATCTTATGGCTATCTTATGACTATCTTATGACTAACCACAATCAGTTGCCTGAGATGTACCAGGCCCTCACACCTCACAGGGATTTCTTCCAGATTCATATTCCAGGGCATTCCAGTTGCAACAACACAGTGTTATAGCCATCAAAAAGCAGAAACTGCCACTCAGTGAGCAGGGCACAAGCAGGAGCCTTGGGAAGAGGAAGGAGTCCTCCATCAACAGCTCCGGAAAAACTTCCCCAGTTTTTCAGCGGTTTTGTGTCTGCCCCATTTTTCACACAGCAACTAATGCCCTCTAGTCCTTCCTGAAAAAGCTAATTATGGTGCCAAGTTTGTCCTTCCATCACCCCATTTCTTAGCTCATTCTTTCAAAGTGGAAAGGAACGGAAGACTTTTGGTCAGTAACTCTGACAAAGCCATTATCCTAGAGGTATTAAACAGGCAGATAAGAACTTCAGGGCTTTGCACAAATCATATTAGTTCAATTCTCAAATCCGGGTAATGCTTCTTTTCAAAGTATTAATTTCATTTATTCTATTTGCTCTCCCTCTGTCCTGATAACACAGGCGCACATGGCCCCTAAATGAGATCCTCCTATTTTATAGGTTATAATCCTCCTTTTCCAGAGTAGTAATGAGATGGCTGCTTAATCACGTTTATGTCCCCCACATACACACACTCCTGCTTTCTTCCTCCCCTCCAGTCCACACCGATTTGTTTCAAGGTTTCAGCAACAACCAGCAGCCTGGGAGCCACTGCTCCAGGAGGGAGGCTCACGATGCACATGCTGTATAACCTTAAGAGACTACAAAAGCACAAAGGACAGAAAAGAGCAGCTTTGCTTGCAAAGTTTCTTCAAAAAAAGATGTCTGATTTAAGAAGAGGTAAGACTATTCATAATGCCACCCAGCAACTAAATAACTTGTTTATGACAATTTGGGAGGTTCCTAACACTAGAATTTAAATTGGAAAAAAAAAAACAGCTTATTCAAGCTAACTCTTGAATAAATTGTATGAGACACAAGGAATGCTACAAGCATTAAGCATCACAGACCTCTTTGCAAAATGTTACATATATAATCCTTGCTGTATCCTGCGCTCTCATGACATTGAATTATTCAGAGGGTCCAGACAGCACCAGAATCCTATCCCATAAGTGATGAAGTAACCGTACTCAGGAACTGACAGCAAGGCCCTTATCAACAGTTACTGGCAGTCCACAGCCTCATCAGGAAGGTAGACTACATAATAAGGCTAAAGAATCACCTCATAAAGACACTATTCTTAATAAAAGCGGAACAAAATCATAAACACAGATTAAATGCCAAATGACTTTCAGCACAATCAAAATCAACTAATTTCAAAATACAGGTATAGTATTTGGACATATGGCCTACAAATGCTAAGGCTAATGGAGAATATTGCAGCATTACCACAGATAACTGTACCAGTAAAGGCTACTAATGACCAAACTATTGAGATGCTGAGGCCACAAGGCAGTTAAAAAGAAGAAAGAGAAGGGGAAAAAAAAAAATTCCTCATTCTGGGACTACAGAAGAGAAAAGTGAGCAAGAAATAGTCAAGCTCTGTGGCAAATACAGGAGCAAAAGGGACTAGAAGACAAATGACAAGTACAATTTGTTTACGATTAAGAAAGCAGAATAAGATGCCCGTGCCTGAAAAGAAAGCATAGCCGAGATGAAGTAAGTCTGGTAAGGATCTCAATAATTTCAGAAGCTGGCAAAAATAGCTCCTTCTCAGGAAAGCACACAGAAACCAAGAGACAACAGTCCTGACCTCATTTTTGAAAGGACTGGCTAGACTATTCTATTTTTAAGGGTCTTAAATTTATGACTGATCAAGAGATGGCTAAAGAGCAGTGAAAATTAACAGTTTCTCCATTCTTGCACAACAGCCAGGGCTAACACTCCACGGTCGTCATTTATCTTTTATGAATTACTCTAAAAGAGCCTAAGCAGATTTTTGCAGAACATCAAGTATGCAATATCTGGGAATGTGACACTGCAGCATTAAAAGGTAATTCAGATAACAGAAGAGCCTTTGTATGCTGGGGATCAGATCCCAACTCAGTTTAGAGGTGCCCTCTTTATACTTCATTAATATTGCCTGACACTACTGGCCACATTCCTCCACCAACTCCGTATCTCCCTGGTGAAGGGCAGGTCCTTACTTCTAAGCAGGGCAACATCTTTTGATCTGAAGTTATATCCATTAACTCCCTCCCCTCTAATGCCTTTTACAAAGGTCCATAAATTGCATTCACAACAAGAATATTCTTTCTAGTGCGAAGAGAGCTAACATTGTGCCTGTTGACCTGGTCTGCTACCCAGGGGAACAGTGGACACTTGGCCTCAGGCATCGCTATCCTGACGCATTCCCGTGCAGACTTCCCATTCCTAGCGCACTGACAAGTTTCCAATACTAACCCAAGCATCAGGGAGTCAACAGCATAAATGGATCTAAAACCAGAAATACACAAATTCACAGAAAAGTCCATCAAACGGACTGTTAATCACAGGGTGAAAATGAAACCTCCTGCCAGAGGTTTTTATTCAAGGTCATTATTCAAGTCTTTTCTCTCCCTAAACAGTCCTTTCAACATGCATTAGAAGAGGATGACTCCTAATCTGCAGCTCTCAAATAGTTTCAGCATCACAGTGAACAGGTAGTTCCCTCTCACTGGGGCAAGTGCAGTCCCACCTCACTGTCACAGCCCAACACCTCACACTGCTGCAGCTCAGGACAAAGCGATAACTTCAGCAAGACTACATCTTGTTTATAGGCCACCACTGTCATATTAATGCTAGTATTTAAATGAATACAATTCAAAGCGATATCACAAGAGTACTGGGCATCAATATCACAACTGTACATTTAAGGTTTGGAAGAAAGAAAAAAAAAACTACTACTTTTTTTTTTTCTACTCAGTTTCATCCCACTGTGTATCTGCCTGCATCCCTGCTCCTCTCAGAGCTGGTAGGACAATAACCCCAGCAACCCATCCCAGCAACCCCAAGGTGACTAATAGTAAAGACAACAGTTAGAAAAAGTCTCTGAAAATAAGCTTGCCTACTCAGCAAGAATTGGGTTTGGGAGTCAGTGAAGTACAAGGGTTTAAGATACTTGGTTCCTTTAAAAAAAAAAAATCAAACTTAGATCTTCAGAAACAGTAAAACATTGATAGTTTTATAACAATTCTTCAGTTACTAGCATCAGGAAAGTTTTAAATAACAGAACGCACTGGTTCTTTTTACTAATCTGGGTATTTGCATAGTTACAGTCTAGCTAGCTTAAACAGAGACAGGTTGAAGGACAGGTAGGGTCAGCAGAACCTGTACCGAAACATTCATTTCATACACTTGGGAGTTTAAAGGAGCTCTCTGGCTCAGACTGCAGCCCCTGCGCACACACAGCACTCCAACCTGCCCGCCACCGCTTCTGCCCACACCAAGGACTGTCCCCAACAGTCACTGCTGATGCCCTTCCCTACAGCCTTGGCCTTTGAATCACCACATAACAAAAGGTTGTGCCAGCCACACTGCAAGCCAAAAGTAAATTAGGAGGTAATGAGTACTTCAGCCTAGAGCACAATTTCTAAACTCATTACACAAGTAATAATTAATTAATTCCTTTAAGCAGAGAGATTTTAAGTCTGTTCTGCTTTTTTTTTTGGTACTCACCAGCTGGGCCACTCTCTGTCTCTCTTCACTACTGCTGTCCTTTTCCCGCTGAAGGGCAGTGTTCAAGGCCTCGCTGGCCGCTTCTCTTTCTCTCTTGGCCAGCCGGAGCAGCTCCTCCTGGACCAGCGCCTGTTCCTGCTCGTACCTGCAAGAGTGCCAAGTACAAACAGAGAGGAGGTGATCAGCAGACTCTGGCAACAGGGTCATGACTGGGTGATAAAATGCACTAATTTCTTTATCTACCAACTCTTCACCTTAGCCTTCTCTTCCAATTGCTCATCTCTCCCTTGCCTGCTCCTTTGGCATAGACTTGCACTACAAGGAACACTCCACATCCCTGAACTGAACTAAAAGGCTTCAGAGGGGATTCTGTGGGCCTGAAACCCCACAGTCACTGCTCTCAGACTGAAACAAGCCACACATACGTGATCCAAAAGGGGCTAAGCTGCATCTTCTTTATGCAAATTTTCACCTCACCTCTTATATAGTTCCTGCTCTGCTGTAGAAGACTTCTGAGCAGAGTTACTTGCTGTTGGTGGTTGGACTCCTAGAAAGAGGAAGAGAAGCAAGTGACTACTGCAGTAGATGACACCTTCTCATCAAATCATAGATTATCTGGGAAGAAAATGAACACTTTAAAAGTGAATATTAACCCAGCAAGAAAAAATCCACCACACCCAAAAAAGTCTCAGGAAAAATTAAAATCTGTGGATGCAGATAGAATTCATGAAAATAAAAAATCCCTGCTTTTCTTCTTGGGTGCTTATCTGAAAGCCTAAAGAGATCTTCACATACACAGTCACGCAACTTTACTAATGTACCTGAAAAGACTGGTATTAAGATTTCACAAATGCAGGACCTAAAGAAACTAGTCGTCTTACTGAAGGCCATACAGAGCTAGTCAGACTGTTAAGATTCCAACTGCCACACGATGTCGCTGCCTTTTGTGTGACATAAAAAGCACGTCCTAGGACTGTAACATTCAAGGCTCTCAATGACAGTGATATCTACCTACATAAACACATCAAAAGTTAATTAAAGTGCTCCTTTCATAACAGGGTATTCTTGAAGAGATACTTCACGCCCTATAACATCAAGGGGTTGTTCTGTTGCTAACTGTGATATAACTCCAGGCAGGAGATCTGACAGGGGCTGACAGCACCTGTAGGAGACTTGGGTGTCCCTTCTGCAGCTGGTGACGATGCGGTGCCATTGGGTGAGTGGGGTGATCTCTGGTGGTCCCTTCTATCTTGTTTCATTCGGTTCACGACATCTTCAGAGAGCTGAAATAGAAATCAACCAGTTCATGTTAATCTATACGTTTCACTAAAAAGTGCCATACTTGATAAGTTTTCAAAGACCTGCAAAATTTCACAGGTTCATATTTTAATACCGGATTCCTTTCAATCCAGGTAGTCATCGTCTGTACACTGACTTCTCCTCCCCCAAAAAAGGAAAAATAAGCAAGACAAGCAAAACACACACAAAAAAGACACACATTTATCAGTAAGCAATAACGTTCCCAAGAGAAACTGCATGACAGCAAGAGAGTCTAGTAATGATAATGATAAATTCATAACTTTACAGAAGTGCCTTTATTTCTCTTGGGGCTGATGGGTGGCAGGAGAAAGGGAGGAGTGAGAATTCCCGGTACTAATGGTCACATATTTGAAGCCTGGGTGCTTATTTACTTTTAGAGTTTAATCTAATTTTCTAAAGGAAATCAGTCTCATTATAATATACAATGCTACTGGTGAATTTAAACCTCAAAGATGTAAATACCTCAAAAATAATTCAGTTCTTTACGGACTTTATGAAAACCAGCAGCGGGCTGATGCAGAGTTCATTATGAGCATCCCATGGGAGCAACTGTAGCTCAACTTGAGGCCACTCTGCACTTGGTCAGCGTGCCTATATGAACTAACACACAGCACTTCAAGAGCACCATCCCTCTTACCCAGAGAAGGATGCCCAAAGGAATACAGAAACAGGCTTCTGGAAACACAAACCTGTAGGAACCCAGTCTTCATCAACTGCAGGGTTCAATGGAACTGCTTTTTAGGCACACATCCTCAAAAAGCAAGCAAGCGATCCCTAGGCTACTCTACAAAAGGGGAATGACTATTCTATTTCACAAAACAAACCCAAAAGTAACTAAAACCTTTTACTTTTGGAGGTAAAACAGAGAGGCCTAAGACCACCACAGCTGATTTAGCATAATCAGGTATCACAAGACAAACGTGGCCCTCTTCATCTGGAGCTCCTACAGGTCACACAGAGATCCAAAATAGGTAGCCCACATTTTTCCTCCAATGCCAGCAGGATGCAGCTGTTGGAGCTGGACTAAGCTAGACTAAACCATTTGGTTCTGCTGCTTATAGGACAGGTCACATTAAGCCATGGATTGGCCCCACCTGCCAATGGAAAAGGGCAACCAGGTGAGAACTGACTTCACCTGAAACAAGCAGTAAAGGGAGACTTAGCAAAACCAAGTGAATGATCAAAACATGGGGGGAAATAAGGAACCACAGCAAAATTCACCTACAAACCCAACCTTCTACAAACCTATTTCAGAGGAATTTTTGGGGGGGAGGAAAAAGCAGGTAGAAATATAAAGAAGCAACAACGATGAAAACAACGGTAGAAGCAAAAGAATTAATTAGCTAAAGAGAGAGGAAAACCCCAAAGGAAAAGGGAACGATAGGAACAGCTCTTTCCAGAGCTTGTTTTCTGGACACAAGAACGTCGGTGTTGGGTGAAAGCCCCAGAAGCAGCTTCCGCGGGGCCCGCCTGCTCCCCGCAGCCCCGGGCCCGCAGGGGGCCTCGCCGCGGGGCCGGCCTCGCTGCTCGGGGCCCGGCCGCGCTCCCGGCCGCAGCACCCGCCGCTCGCCACGCCGGAGGGGACGCGGCGCAGCGGGAAGGGGAAAAGGGACAGGGCGCAACCCGGGGGAGGCCAAGCGCTGCCGCCCGCTCCTTCGGCGCTGCCTCTCCCCGCTCTCCCTGCCCTCCAGCCCCATGCCCGCACGCCCGGCCCTCCCCGCTCCGCCCCAGCACCGTCCTCGGCCGCGCTGCCCGCCCCGCGCAGCAGCCCCTCACCGACCCGGCCTCCTCCAGGCCCCCGGCCGCCTCTGCTGCCGCCCCCGCCCCTCTCCCCTGCCCCGCCGGGGCTCCCGCCCGCGCCGCCTCACCCGGATGCCCTGCAGCACGCGGACTTGCTGCCGCTCGTCCAGCCCGAAGGAGACCTTCCTGCCGCCCTGGCTGCTCTCGCTGCCGCCCATGGCGGCGGGACGAGCCGGGGGAGCCTCGCGCGGCGCCGCGCTCCGCTGCCCTCCGCGGCGAGCGGGGCCGCCTCCCAATACCCACGCGCTTCATTGGCCCCCGGCCCCGCGGTAGCCAATAGCGCGGCGCGGTGCTGGCGGCCAGCGCGGTGCAGCCTGGGGGGTGTAGTCCCTGGTGTGAGGGACGCCAGGACGCACTGGGCTCCATGGGGAGACTAATGTCCCAAAATTAATGTTTCTCCAAAGAATAAAAACAAATACGGCTTACACTCACCATGAATTACAGTCAGTTTTAAAGGAGATGCTTTATAGGCAGAATTTATCATCTCCTGTGAGCTGGCAAAGGCTTAGGAGGTGCAAGTCTCTCAAAGTTAAAGCTTCTCTAATTTGATTATTTAGAGCTGGAGATCACACTCTGCAGACTCAGCTGCTGTCCTAAGAACATATTTCCAACAGTCAAAAAAATTCTGGCTCTACCGTTCCCTTAGTATGTGGCATATCTGACCAAAGTATTTTTTCTTTAAAAAATGAATACTTTCCCATTTAGCATGAGTCACTTGAAATAAAGTATGAGTATTTATGCCAAATTTAATTTCATTTCTTTATTTTACAAACAAAAATATACATTTACTCTATACTTAAGTCTCTTTGCATCCCCCCCCAAACACGTAACACACTTCTGCTCAAGAGCCATGGTGAATATGGCCCAAGGCATTTATATACATAAAAATACAACCGGAGGAAAGTCAGTCTGTGACCTAGTGCAGAAACCCCTCAGCAGTAGAACAGGGGACACTCCAGAAGATGCTGGGGTGCTGCCAACAAAGGAGAGGATGGACACGTCGACCACCGGTCTTTGTGATCCTTCAGCATTGACTCCAGCTGATGAAAAGGTGAATTCATAACCCGCTCCTCACTTTAGGAGGGCAGCTAAGTCCTTTCAACTTCAAGGTGTTGGAGAGGCAGCAAATACCCCTCGGGATGGGAAAGCATCTGCTCTTCTGTTCCTGATCCGCCTCAAGACTTTCCCATCTCCCGCCCTCTCCCTGGCCGTGGATCACAGAGCTGCCCCTGGCTGGTGCTCGGAGCAGCTTCAGGAGCTGCCCAGGCACCACGTCACCCATCCCTTTTACAGCAAGGAGTAAGTGCTAGATCACAGCAAGTGATGGAGGAACACGAACATTTTTTGGATGTGGCCAAAAGGCCACTTGGCCAGTTGCTTGTGCACCCTTTTACACAGTTATTGCATGGAGGGAAATGTGAAAGGCCACTGAACCACGTGGTATAAATACAGCTCGAGCACACAGACAAATGGAAGCCTTTTTTTTTTTTCTCTTTAAAAGTAAATAAAAATATTTTAAAATGAAGGGGGTGAGGGGGGTGTTTGTTTTTAAGGTGCTGATGCTACTTGGAAGCCTGCAGGGTAAAGTCCACAGGCAGCAGAACAGAGAGGCTGCGTTGCTCATTAACAGAGAAGATAAGCCCAGGGCCTGCATAGTTTTGGCAACCACTGTGCACTTTGTGCTCTTCCCCAAACTGTCTTTCCTTGCAGTAGGAACACCTGGTAGCAAGTGCTACTACCTAGCAGTAGTGCTTTACATGATCCAAACTATCCCTGCACTGCACCACCTACAAAGATTTCCCCAAAACTCCTACCTCTGTTCTTCTTCAGAAAGAGTGTTGAGCAAGAAATGAAAAGTTCCATATTCCCTCATACTGCCATCTCTAGTGGAAAGCTGCCTTTGGTTACAGCAGATCTCCACCTACCTGGAGGACTCGGGTAAGAAAGCACCCCCAAAGGAAGAAGCCTCTCTATCCCTGGAGAACACAGGATGCCTAGAGAGCCAGTCCGGTGCAGCTTCCAGCTCAACAGTCCCTGGATCAGGCCATAGGGACAGTCATTCAGACAACAGTTCTCCCCAGACTGGAAGAGAATAACAGGAAGCTCCAGGGAGTCTACAAATGAAACACACTTTGCATGCACAGAACTATTTTCAATGCATCAAGCCATAAAGCCTATTCAGGCCAGCAGAAATCCAGACATCTGAACAGCAGCATAGAACACCACCACAGAGACAGTAGTAGAGCATCCCTCTCGTACCTACCTTCCAAGAACACCCATCAGCCCAATCCTGGCATTCTCCACCGTGTTTGAGAACTCCCCTGTCACTAGATGCTGGGAGCTGGGATTTATCCTGGGTTTCTGCTCTGCCTCAGACACCGGAGCCTTCATCTGCAGAGTCAGCCTCCTCCTTTATAGTCCCTCCGAGATCCTCCCAGATGCACAAAGCAGGATCCCCTCTGGACACATCCACATCACACATTTTACTCTCAGTGAAATCCAAGGACACCAAGTCAAGGCTGAGTTCCAAGTTCAGCCACACAACAGCGCTGGCTACAGCGACTGTTTCACATCTGCTTCAGCTCAGCTAGTCAGCACCTCTGCCTGTTCTGTCTGCCTGTCCTTCTAACAGGTCATATCCACTCTGCTACCTACTAAGCAGTCCATTCCAGAACAGCCTCAGGACACACTGAACAGCTCTCTTTATACCCTCTCTTCTTCCCACACACTCCAAATGCTCCTTTTAAACCCCAGAAAGTGCCATTATTTTCATCAGTATTAGCTGAAACTGAAGAGCTGCCCAGCTTCTTTCTGCAGACACTGCTGTCACCAGGAACCTACACAACTGTATTACAAGACCCATGCAACTCTGCTCAAGAAACCCCAGGAAGACCATCTGTGGCTCCACACATTGAACATTTTCTATATATGCACAATACAGCAGGCAAATCAACACCCTCATATCCCTAAGTGCCATTACCCCAGAGGGCAAAGTAGTGCTTCCAGTCACTGAAGAGAAAGGGGTACCAGGCAGGGTCATATTCACATCTGGAGCATGTAGGATTGGGAAGATTCACTATTTGTAATTTTATGAACAAAATTGTTATAGGCTGTTCTTGGGTAGCAACAGAAAGTGTCCTTTCCAAGGGGTGTTGCGTTGCCACCTGTTCCACGGTAGGTTTAGGAAATCCTAAGGAAGAAGGGAAACGCCATGGCTGGCATCCAAGGACTGATCCAATGGGCATCCCAACAGCTGTGGCATCTGGGCGCTCGGAAGGAAGAGGAGGCATCGTGTGAAGGGGCTGCGCTGCCTCAGGCATTGATGGCTTTCCAGCGGTCGCTGTCCATGCTGTTGATGCTGCCCACATGATAGGGCATCGAGGCGACATCATCCAGGTAGGCTGCAGTGTCAATCTGAGTGCTCGAGTAGAAGCCAGAATCCATCCCTTCTTTCTTGGCAACTGCGTACGGGTGGGGTAGGTGCACATCTACGTCTTCAGGTTCATCCACTTGACATTTGTAGGAGAAAAGGATCTTCGGCTCAGACCTGGGGGCATTAAAGATTTAAAATCCTTACTTAAGGAATGCAGTATCCCATAGTAGCCACCCAGCCTCAACTGAAACCCAGTAGCAGAAGAATCCCTACACACAGGCCCTAGAGAAGTCTCTGCATTACTTCATGGCAATTATTGCACTAGATGAATTTCAGGATTAGCTAATGCCAGGCTGCAGAGCAGGCTACCTAGGCAAAATAAAAATAGAAGAATCCTGACTCCAATGAGGGAAAATAATTAGCTCATCCTGGTGGTTCTCAATTACCACATGCATCCAAACACCACTGGGCTTCATGACAGGCTACAACAGAACAAGCTTTTGCCCCAATCACCATTCATAGGTATCATGAAAATCAAACCAAACATCTGAGGATCTGCAATTCCCATCTTTTAACACCTGAAATCAGAAGGGAACAGTGTCTGCAGGCTGTAGAGGCACATTTGGACAGTTTAGAAGAACTTTATATTCCCAGGTATTTTAAAGGCTACTCTTCCTTGCTCATGATCAATAAAAGGTTGAGGTTCCTGCAGTGAAATATTCTCCTGTGAAGATGCCTCTCTCCCGAGTGGCCACACGGTGGCACCTCGGATCCAAGGAATCTTGCTCCCCATTTACCTATTTGACACATCAGAAATCCAGACACTATTTAGAGAAGCCCCCAGCCAAAGGATTCCTAACAGCCCCTGGGTTACCCAACTGCCAGACCTCTCTGCTGAGCTGTCACAAATCCCTCCCAGGATCTTAATCTTCCAGAACTCAGACTCTCACTAATCATTTAGTTGCTAATTTCAGTAGCCAAACCTTTGCTTAAATGCAGACACTTAAGAACTGATCCTCCAAACATTTAGGCGGAATAATTACCAGAGCTACTTCGCATACAAGGGAGTCTTAAATAGAATTATCTCTATAGATGGAAAGGACTCAGGTGCAGAATAGCTGAACAATACATACTTTACAAACTCCCGCTTCTGACTACTTACCCAAAGAAGCCTTTCAGGAAGGCCACATAGATGAGAGGTGCAAAGAAGCTGAAGTAAAGGAATGTGGTAACATCAACACAGCTGTCAAAGGCAAAAGAGAATATGAAGGAATTCAGCATTCACACGCAGTACAGCTAGATGACCCCAGCCACATCCACCCACACAACATCATCCCATTTCCCTCTAGAATGTCTAAGAGCGGCTGGAGAAAAGTCTTTTGCTAAAAAAAAAAGGTAGACAGTGCAAAGTAATAAGCACTGCTATCAACGTCTTGCTGCTCACTGCTAGATACTTTGGGAGGAGACCAGGTCAAGCCCCAAGGCTCGATCAAGAACACAATCTCAGTGCTCCCAACTCAGACCACAAAATGTGATGTTGGTCCCTGCAGATTCCAGATACAGCAGAAGGCATCCATGTTATTTCAAGGAAACTGCCCACCTCCTGCTTTACTAACCATGAAACACGAACCAAAGCCAACAGTCAACTTATCACCCTCACTCACCACCTCAACTGCAGAGCATGAAGCTCCACAGACCTCCCCACTGTGAGTTTTCCCAAGTACTTTAAACTCACATAAGAAAAAAAAAAAAAAAAAAAAAAAAAAACAAATAAGACCCTAACAGCTTTATTCCTCCCTAGAACACCACAGGCTGTTTTCTCAGGAGAGGCAGTGCTGAACAGCACTCCATGCTCCATGGGCAATCCTCCGCCAGCGCACGTACCACAGTCCCTCTATGATATCCACACAGAGGAGGGCACTGCCCAGGCCCTGCAGCAGGTTCAGCAGAGCCAAGATTCCAGCATAAACATAGAAACTCTTCCTGGCTGCAAGAAAGGCACAGGCACAAGGGTGAAGCTCAACTTCAGGAGCACTAGCCCAGCATATTTGATAAGTCTTGTACAATGGAGATAGCAAAAGGAATGAAAGCATCTTGCCACGCAGGCTGCTCAGACATTCCTGAGGAGACAGGACTGCACGTTTGTCCCATGCGGCCAGAACAGATTTAACTGGCTCCATCATGCTCTCCTGTATATGTGTGTATATGTGCACATACATAAGGCACAGATGGGTCTTAAAGAGCATCGTGGCAATAGATACAAAGATGTTACAGGCAAACATCTGCAGTCACTGCCAGTCACGTGCTCAGATATAAAGAAATGCAGGTGAGTGAGCAGCACCACTTTCATCTGCAGCACAAACAACTGCTCAAGCAGCAGCAGGAAACAGGCCAGGAGCAGAGCATCTCAGTCCAAGCTATTCCCCACCTGTACTCCAGAACACATTAGTCACTTACAGGGCAAAGAAATCCGGTCTTTCAGAGGAGTTTTTGGAAGAATCACCACCAAGGAATAGACCTGTTGAGAGAAAGAACTAACTGTTCCACAGCTGTTTGGTAACTAAACTCAACAAGCCCGGCGAGACAGTGTGGGCGGTCAGGCAGTCCCTGGGTGCTCTGAGGGGAGCACAGACGCCCAATATTGCACCCAGTGAGCATATGAAGGCCCCACACTTCACCCCATAGCACACACAGGCTGGTCACCAAGAAGCAAGAAAGATCACTTAAGTTCAGCTGGAATTCAATTGCCAAAATTCACATCACCCCACAACACTCATCTGCTGCAGCTTCTCTGCCTCATGAGAAGTATCAACACTCCATGCTGATGGAGCATGTGTGTGAGTAGAGGAGAAATCTATGGCCCTATCACACACAAATCATTCTCTTTGTTTCATTTACAAATTCTAGGAGTCAGACAGTGTGCAACACATGCTTGGTATTCACCAGAAAGAAGAAACAAGAGCTGGCAAGCCAGAAATGTCTCCCTCCGTGGCCATAGATGTTGAAGTCTTCTGCTGAGAGGTGGGCATCAGGGTACAGGATTTCCAAGGTCCCCTAGAAAAGAAATGGTACCATTAGAAGAGCATTACAGCCAGCACCCTCCCTGCTATGGGCATCTGGACAGAGGTGACTGTTTAAAGAAGTTCTGGTAACTTTTGTCTCTGCCTTCTCAGCAAGGTACCATTTTCCTGCCTAGGTCTTTCCAAGTTCATATAGGAATAGAGCAAGAAACTTAAGCACTATGTGGTAAAACCAACAGGAAGCTATGGGAAATGAGCATCAGTGACATTCCATAATGGAGACGGAAAAGAACAGAATGGATAGAAGCAGCCATTGGTCTGAAAGGGTCAGATTTCCACTGCTCCATTGTCAACTCTAAATTAGATCTTTCACATTGGATTTTCTGGAATATAAACACCAGAATTAGCGCAAAAGTTGGGAAAGGAAATTATTTCATTCACCTGTTACCTGAAAAAGAAAATGAACAGAAGATAACAGAGTAGCAAGAAATGTCCTTGTATTCAATTAATGTATATATGACTCATGCATTTGCTGTTTAAGGAGACTCCTCCAGAGCATCATGTGCTAAGGATCAGCTCAGGGCCCCTGCGTGCAAGAGCCTGACCACTGAACAATGATCCGTGTGTTACTCTGGCGCTGCCTTAGATGGAGGCCCAGGGCTGGCCACCGACACAGCAAGAGGAAAGCTGGACATCCACTGTATTGTTTGTGGAGAGCTGGAGACAAAGCTAAGAAAGGAGCCAGCAATCCAGCTGCTGGTTTGCAGGGAAGCAAGAGCTCTCGGCTTGGAGAGGCTGGAGACAAGAGGCTGGAAGGGCTCACTGCACTGCCCTTCTCTGACAAGGGTGTCAGAGAAGAACTTGGTGTCTCGCCATCTAATTTTGGTGGAACTTGAGCTACAAACTCGCTGCTCAGACATGAGGAACTTTCACTTTTGTTTAAAACCCATTTGTCTAAACCTCATCTGATTTCTGAACTCTGCCTGAACTAGTCATACCACAAAGAGCAGAGATCTAGTCTTGTGCATGTTCTGAAGATCCATGTTGTGCATGTTCTGAGGAATTCAGTCATTCCCCAAAATCTCCCCCAAAGAGAAAAGCTGCCATTTGGCCACATTCCAGACAGGAATCCTGTACCTAAATGCCTAATTCTGAGTGAAGCTCTTTCACCAAAAGAGACCAACTTTTCTGCTCCAGCTTACTCACCTGGGTGACAGAATATGCCAGGGACAGCACCGTGGTGATTGCCAGAACACGCTTCACACTTGACTTGCTCTCCAGGTGACCTGGAAATAAGGAATGTGGGAGTGAATCAGGATACAAACCCAAATCTAGTAAAAAAATGAAAAATAAAAAGTGTCTCTAAACCCAATATAGGGGAAAAGAGAAAAAAAAAATACCCATACAAACTCTGAAACCACTCGAGTCAGAAGAACTGTGAAGATTAGAAATGGCTGCCAGCCATTTTTAACAAAAGACTATTGAATTTGTCCTCTGTGTTTATTCTAGAGATTTTCCACTTTAAAGGATCAGCACTCACACACACTTACAGACACAGGCTCTGTGGAAAGCAGGGGAACAGGAAGCATGCAAAGCACTCAGCAGCTTCCTGACACATACCAAAGGCAAGGCCTAGAATCACCACGCTCAGCTCAATGGCCAGAAGGAAGAACCTTGTGATCTCCCACAGGATCTGAGGGATAACAGAAACCAAACAGAGGTGATTACAAGGACCGTGGCATCAGCTGGAAGTTATTACAGCAGAATTCCCCTTTCTGCTCCAGGAGACGGCAGCCCATGAACGGAGCAGGACATTTCCACACACATTCCTCATGTTTTTAGGGTGCTGTGTGCTCTTCTGCCTGCCCCAGCCTGCAGAACAGCAGCACGGTGTGGCAGCAAGCGAGCAGTGTGCCCATGGAGAGGGGACGTTATAATTGGGGAAAAGCCAACATATTGCCAAAGTCACTATTCCCAAAATGTAAAAACGATAAAGCATTCCCTACTGCCAGCTAGCCTTTTTCCTTCCCATGTTTTATTTTGTGAGCCAAAGCCAGTAAACAGTAGGTTAAGTGAATTTTCCGAAGGCTGTTTCTTGAAAGTTAGGCAATAAACTAATTGCAAACTCAGGGCAAGGTCCCAAAATCTTGTCTTATCAATACTTTCTCTGAGCAGCACTCTTAAGGATACACAGTATTTTAAAAAGTACTTGGTGAGATACTTAAGAAAATATAATCTCACTTTTAGCATCTCGAAAACAAATAGAATGAATAGAATGTATGAAAGGGAGAATAACACAAAGCTAATAGACATATAATAGAACATGTCTCTACAGGAAAAATTGACACAATATCTGCCCCAGTTTGCAGCTTCCCACCCAGGAGTGTCAAGCAGCAAAATTAAGAGCTGAAGAGAATCACTTTTTCACCTATTTCTCCATTATGGAAGTATCTATATCTAGTCAGAGGTGAAGGAAAAAGCTGCACCCATCTGCTCATAAGCAGTGCAGTAAAATGCCTCGAGGGGCAACATGAAAGGGAAGGGTGTCACACTGACCCAACCAAATAAAGACTAGAGAACTCCGAGGGTGTCCCCAGCAGCTCCAGAACGACAGAGCTTTTTGCTTTAGGTGATACTCTGCTACCAGTCAAATGCCTACAAAAGAGAACAGCACGTACAGAACTATTTCCTGTTTGCTAAAAGGTTTGCCCTGTGCTCAGAGTGGCTGCAAGGACATGCTGCTATCTGGCTCACAATGGTATTTGCTTTCAGTAAGAAAAAGAGACTATTTTTCCAAGAGCCACACAAATAAGAATGACCGAGACCAGGTGGTGCTTCTCCTTTTAAGGTATCTGGATGTTCAGTTCTTGCTAAGAGCCGTTTCACCTTTGCAGGAGAAAGTTTCACTGCTATTTGCGTGTCTACTGTCAAAAGTTCATTGTTTTACAACCCTGGACATGGTTATCATACAGATACAGTTATCAGAACAGGATTCCATAGTACACACATAGCTACGAGTATCACAAGTGAAACATTCCTGCTGGGTTCACATAAAAAGGAAGCAGGAATAGATGGCTGTGACTGAACTGCATGAGGCAGAGCTGCTCAAGTCAGGGTTGTACCTACCTTATCAGCAACCGTGGCAGCATCAGAGGCGCTGACGGTCATGGAGACAACGGCACGGGCAATGCCAACTAAAGCCACCACAAATACCTACGTGAAAAGACACCCAAGTGAGCTGATGTCAACAGGCAGCAGTTGCCAGAAATTCCTTTGGAAAATAATTTCCAGGCCAGCTTTGAAACCTGATAGCAGGGACTGGGACTTCAAGTCACACATTCAAGCTAATTTGCTGGAAGTGGCAGGAAGATTCCTCAGGCCTGTTAAGTGCAGTAGTACTGACTTAAGCGTCTAATAGGGAACAAATTCCCTCAAGTGTTAGATAAAACAGCTCTGAAGAGGTCTCACTCAGTCCTTATAATAATGTCTTTAAGTGCAAAGAGGCTGCACATCCTTCAGCCCAATGTCTGGGGAAGGAGAAAGCTAAAACAGAAATGCATACAAGCTCAAATGCTCCGTATGACTGAATAAATCAAACTTAAAAGGGCAACAAAGCCACTTGACAGTAACTACCACACCAAGATTTGTAATAAAGGTGAAATCTTCCTCTGCTCAGCACTCGACAAAGCTCAGGAATGCAGAGGATAAGTCAGCTGAAGCCACAAGCTTGAAAGTCTCTTGCCCTGTAGTGCAGAGAGACCTCTGCTCATGCACCACTTGAACATGACAGCATGGAGCTCAGCAAGGCACATCCACCAGCCCCTGTGCTGTTATAGCCACCCCACGCAATTAAGAGCTCAGCTGGATGTATCTTCCTTCCACTGCGCAAGGGAGACTTAGCCTCAAGTGAGTTTTTTCGTATTAAAAGAAGAAAAAAGGACAAAAAACCACCACACACCAAAGTCACAGACTAATTTATAACTCAGTAAATGACACAGCTACATTTATCACATGTTTGAAGGAGTCTAGACTGATTGCAAGCGGTTTGAGCACCTACAGGCAAACCACCTACAGCAGAATGTTTCCCCTTAAAGAAGGGATGAAAACAGCTCGAGACAAGAACGAGACATTCCCTTCCAGGGACTTCCACCCCAGAAGAGAGCACTTTCAAAAAGTCTCCGAATACAACTATTTTATATTCGTTGGTGAAGAAAACACCCCTTTTTTGTTTCTTTTCTAAATAGAGACTCTTCCCAATCTATTTACTTAGTTTTAATCAACTGACTCCACCAGAAAGTATTCCTTGAAGATGTGACAAATGACTGTTTGAAAGGAAATCCTCACAGAATACGTTTACATTCCCATCTCCCAACAACATACTCCAGGAGATGTGAGTGAGAAGCATTTCTCTCCAACACCATTGCAGCCGTTTCTGCTTCTCTGTCTATTTTCAAAAGTCAACAGCATACAGTCAGGTCACTTCTTCCCTTTTGTTTCTGTGGAGTTTTGCCTTCCAAAACCTTTGGCACTAACTTTTTAGTTCATTACTGGACGCAAATTAGAACATTCAAATCAATTTGGAAACGACCAATAGTATTTTTAAAGAATTTGAAGCATTTTATGTACCTGGTAATCCAAAACTGCACAGCGTGCACAAGTCCAACACCAACATTCTGGGAACGCCAGAGCTAACAACACTTCTCATCAGACTGGCACTGTTTTTGCTACACCTTGGGGTTTATAACATCAAGTCCCTGCACACAGGCCGCGGAAAGCTAACCCTTATCTATCCCAAGCCAGACATACACATGTACTTTTACAATCTGCATTAATCTCACTGGAGGAGCAGGCACATTATGTTACAATGAGACAAACTGGGTCTAAAATACATCCTGATTAAGACTTCTGAAGGACATTTCTACATAAAACCAAGCAGGTCTTTAGCTTCACTCACTGACTCATGAGCAGAATCAGAACAAATGCTCAGACTACTACAGACATCACCTGAAGTGAACAGGAGCTACTTGCACCTTATTAAAACTGGGAGAAGGGAACAAACAAGAGATCTCACATGTCAGAGCTGTGACTGTATGGTCTGCATATTCTGTTTCCATTTAAAGAAGCAATGAGAACATTCCCAAATGGGCAGCCACTTGGATTTGATAGGAAAGAAGCTAACAGGGTTTGGGTTCTACATGCCCAGACTAACTAGAACACAGCAGATGAACCAACTTCAGTGCACACTAGTGAGAACATGATTATCATTTCTTATAAAACATCTATATCTAAAAAATCCTTGTTTGCCTGTTTTCTTTAATCCTTGTGGAGATCTGATCTGTGAGGTCTCCAATGTTTCAGTGATGCTGTTAGGGAGCAGTAACAAAAAACTATCAGTCCTCCATTCAGTTCAAAAGCACACAGTGGTACTCACCAGTATGTAGAACGTGGTGAAGATCGGGCTCGAAGTGGCACGGATTTTGGCCCTGGCAGAGGGCAGCTTCCAGAGAAGGAACATAAAGAAAAGCACATTGGGAACCAGGAGCAAAAGATCCCAGTAGCGGACTCTGCAAAAGGTAAATAGAACAGTATCTTCCTCATCTTCTACATCTAGAAGGCAAGGTACCAGCTCCAGTCCCTTCTCACCCAAACCCTGAGATAGGAAGTTCTTTCCCCCAGTCCAGGGACAATCTTGGGTCCCAACTTTCCCATCTCACCTGGATTTCCCAATGTCTTCATAAAGCAACAGCAGGCACTTGTGCGGCACAGTGATATTGGTGTCATTGATGGCCTGCGTCGTTGCTGGGGACAGCGTTGTCACGTTATCCAGAGCTGTCACCAGGGCAGTAGTGTGTGTGACGTTGTCATACATGGCGACCTTCATCGCAGACATCACGGACTAGAACATCCTGCCTTCTCTCTGGTCCAGGTCAAGCAGAGCACAAGCTAAGCAGAGGCAAGAAAAGCAACATTAATTTAGTTGTGAGTCAGAGTTAAAAAACACATGCCCTCCATTAGATCCTAGCACAACTGCTTCCTGCTCATTACAGCAAATTACCATCATCAGAAAGACTGTATTATACAATGGAGCAAGTGGCACCTGGCCCCACTCTGCACACAGCCATTACAGTAGGCAAGACCAAAAACACTATCTGGTACCAGGATAATAAGTACTTTCAAAATGGTACAATACTAAACCACAGAGATTTCAGGATTTCTTGAGCTTTAGCAGAACTGTAGAAGAAATCAAGAGTCTGCAACAAGACACAGCATCAGCGGATGAGGACAGAAAATCTGCACTACACCATTAATTACCTTTCCAGCTCCCAAGGTCAATAGAAATTATTGTCAATGATTTCATTTCAACTATCTCAAAGAAAAAGACTGAAGGTCCCTCCCTAAAACCTTGCAGTCTGAGAGCAGCAAAGACTGACATATTTTTACATCAAGGGACTGTACAGACTCTGCCTTCGCAAACCAACAGCGACAAAAGACAAGATTAATCACTTTTTCTCCTCATCCTCTGCAAGGCACAAGTGTTCTGATCTTAAGCACAACAGCGAGACTGCAAAAAGACGACGCCTTTCTACAACCCTGCCTGTGTAAAGCTCTCAAACGTCTTTACATCCACCCATCTCAACAGCACAGCACTTCTCGACCCCGTCATCTTAAAGATGCACATTGCCAGGGAGCACTTGAGCTGCCTGTGTGCTATAGCTAATCCTGGATTAACCTCAAAAAAACCCATAGCCACTAACAAACAAGAAAAGAACCTGACAAAAAATAATCTGAGTTTAGGTCAGGGTGGGCTGGCATGGCAAAAATGACAGCTTCTTTGAGAGGACTCAAAAGGTCCTTTTCCTGTTTGGTACTGGATGAGTCACATGCAGCAAAATAAGCAGCACAGCCCTGTGTCACCTATGGAACTTGTGGAGTTCAACAAATCTTCCTGCAAACCCTCTGCACCGACAGCTACAGACGGGTTCTCTGCAGGGCTGCGACTCTTCCCAGTGTCCTAGGTTGGAGGGGATCGTCCCTCTCTGCTGACACCCCTGTGCTCCGGTTATCCGCACCGGCAGGTACCTGCTGAGCCAAGGCTTCCCTTTGGGGCTGCACAAGGGACACGGTGTCAAACACACACGCAGAGATGGAACGATCAGCTCTGTGCTGAGCTGCAGAAAGCTGGGCCAAAACCCTCAGTCCTAGCAGCGGATTGAGCAAATCACCTCCCTGCTACAGACTTCTCTTTCCTCCAGGTTCTCACTTCTTTGAGTTCTTATCACTGATTTCCTTGCAGTGCCTCTGCTCCATTCTCTTCAGCTGAAACTTTGGAAAGCTCTGTCTCAGCAGCAGCAAGAATATGTTGCAGCACAGAGGAAAATCCATCTATTCCTTTAGAAGCGGTTGGAAAGGATGGAGAGGAAGCTCACAGGGCCCACGTACAACATCAACAACTCTTCCCCCTGCAAGATGGAATGTGACCCAGCTGTCCCACTGAAAAGAGCTCCAATACAGAGCTGCTGGGGAATTACATGGGAAAGAAAAGCTTTCTTATAAGAGGGCAAACAGGTGCCTATTCCCCCCTGCCTCTGCAAGCCACCACTATCATGAAACAGCAGTAAATGGCTGATAAGGAAGGGACTTGGCCACGTGTATCTGAGCTGGTCACAAGCTTTCAACAGGCAAAACAGCCCTTGCCTCTGCCAGGCTGCTCGTTACAGCCTCGTGTTAGTGTCTATTTTTTTCCTCCCAACATGAGGGATATAAACAGGCAGAGCAGAACACACACCATGAGATCTAAAGGCAGTCAGAGCCACCAGACAGGATGGTTTTCATGCTTTCCTAATAGTTACAGCCTACAGGAAGGATGTGGGGAACTAATCGGTTCCTGTTGGAAAAGGAAAAAAAATCCCAGCACAAATTCCAGAGCGACGGGACCCCAAACCCGTGGCAAAGATGCGGTCGGGCTTCACCAACAGCACCGCTGTGCTACACGGGGCACGTTATCCAAATCCTCATCCCGGTCCTGGTGGATCCGGCAGCCGAGCGCATCCCGTGGGGAGGTCACTGGGCACAAGCTGCCCCAGCCAGGCCCTCCTCAGCAGCCTGGGAAAACAAGAGACCCGGCGCCGCGATCCCAAACATCCTGGGACTCATCCCGGTCATCCTGGGACTCATCCCGGTCATCCTGGGACCGACACATCTATTTGCCGCACACCAGGCGGGTAGGAGGGAGAGAAAAAAAACACATTTCTTGCACGCGGAGCCGAATTACACGCCAAGCAGAGCACCCGCTTTGGGAAAGAAGGGAGAGCTTCCTTTCCTTCAGGAAAGGACACCGGGAAACCTGTTGCTATTCATATCCTATGGGGCTGGCACGGCTCCCTGGATAAACAGCCGGCGCAGACACGGACCGGCTCGGCAGGAGCTGCACGGCCCGGGCCCTGCTCCAGCAGCACCCCTACCTCACGGGAGGATCAAAGCAGAGACACCCATTTCTGCTGCTTTTTCCCCATTTCTCCTCTCTAACACAACTTTCCAAGTCCGACACCTCGCAGTCCTTGGTGGAACCGGCGGCTTTTCCCCACTTTGCCCTCAGGACAAAGCCACACGAGGGGGATTTTCCAGCAACAGGGCTCTCATCTCTCCGCTTACCTTAACTCGGGTTTCACCATCACACCCGGTACTGGACTAACTTCCAAAAAAAGAAACTGATTACATAAACCAACCGATCAACCCAAGAAAAACGTACGAACAGCAACACAGGCACTCATAAAGCAGTAATGATGAAAATACAGAGAATCCTCGCGTGGGGACAGGGGCACCAGGGGTGCCTGGGGGGTCTGCAGGAGGGCGGGTGCGCCCAGAGCCCCTACGGGGAGGGTAAGGGACAAGGGGAGCCGGCAGGGGCACCGAGGGCCGCGAGGGGCGAGGGGCAGCGGGGGGTCCCCGCGCGCCCAGACCGGCCACCCCCCCCCCCAAACACACCCCGCGGGCAGCGTAAGCAGAAGGAAGCGAAAGCGAGAGCAGCGGCGCGAGGCCTGCGGG